TGAGAAAGACCCAAAAATAAAGAATACTTTTTGGTGGATATTTCTAAAACATTCATATATTAAAACCGGTGAGGTCAAAATGATGTTTAAAGGGGAACACCAGAAAGCTTCACTGCAGCAGCTGTCATAAGTAGCCGTTACAAGCCTTTTGGCCTTTCTGAAAAACCTGAGTGCCTCTAACATCTGATGCAACACTGGACATCCACGATCATGTCTATTAGGTAAGAGCTTAAAGCCTTTCCTCACTAATCCACTCACATGCAGTGTAAGTGTTGAAATTGTGGTTTCACATGTTACTGATCTTTTCGGCTAAGGCGCTGGCCTGAATACTTTGCATGTACTTGGAAGACTAAGTGAAATTTGCATGAATTTAGAACTTGGAGAATTTAAAAAAAAAAAAAGGAAAAAAAATCCTTTGAAGTATCAAGATAAGCGATTAAGCGATGACACAGGCCTTGCATAATCCCTGCGAATGAGTTAAAGACAGAGAAGGGGGAAAAGGAGAGGAGATTTGGAGCTGAAGTAGGGAAGTAATAAAAACAAAAAGAGATAAACCCTGAGAGGTTGGGGGGGCTCAGATATTGTTTATCACTCATTCTGTTCATCGGTGTGCTGCTACAGTGCTCAAAGCGGTTGTTAGCATTTAAGAAATAGGCATAAAGCGACCATTGCTTTCTGCCGCAACTGCAGGACAAAAACAGCTGGAGGTGATGAGAGTGAAACAAAGAGTAGAGTGTTCAGTGGTGTACAAGTTGGCTCCACACACCGACGCTTCAAACTATTTAACTGTGACAACATTCAAGAAAAAATGAAAATATCTAATATAATCAGAGTATGAAGTAAAAGCTGAGCTTGTACCAGTGAGATGTTTTTAAAAAACGCTTAATCATTCTTGCAGTCTACATCAATGACTGCAAGACTTATTTAGGTAAAGAATGAGACAACTTTCAGCTATAAGCAGAAAAAGCTGCTAAACAAGACCAAGAGCCTGCAGTCACGCTGGCAGCTTTGAGAGTTTGCACTTTTCAACAAGTTTTAGTGCTTATATTCACCAACTTATTTCGCTAGCGGGAGAATTCTGGCTTTAGGCATCTCTGACAGAATGCTGTCTTTTCTTCAGTTTTTAGTCACAGGTTGATTTGATTTCAGAAAAAGTCTTTATTTTGGTTTTACAAAGTCCCTTGTCAGTAACAGTAACCATGCCCTGTTGAGTCCGTCTGGCTTCAAGATTTAAATGAAAAATTGTTACATGTACAAATATAATTGTATCATCTTCAGACATTTAGTCACAAACTAAGGCATCAGGATGTGACATTTTTAACTAATAACTTACAAAGTTTAAGGTTTTATAGAATCACAGGCCATTTCTTTAGGTACATCTTCCTATTAGGCGCCTCTGTCAGTGCGCCCCAGGGTGGCTGTGGCTACGATGTAGCTTGCCATCACCAGTGTGTGAATGCGTGTGTGAATGGGTGGATGACTGTATGTGTAAAGCGCTTTGGGGTCCTTAGGGACTAGAAAGGCGCTATACAAATACAGGCCATTTACCATTATTTTTTCCCCCTAGATATTTTTATTAAATTTTCTGCATCCACTTTTACAAAAGACAAATTGAACAATATGCCGTTTTCTTTTTGAAGAACATAAGACAATATGGAACATACACTCCCACCTCATAAGTATAAGAGTACCAGTGGGTGTACACACAAGAAAAAAAAGATCCAATCTAATAATACAAATAGTAAACCCTGGAGTACAAGATAGCAGTTCCTGAGTATACAAGAGAGATGTGCAGAGTTTCAGAACCCACACCCCTACACAGACTACATCTTCCTATTATTGGGTTGGGCTCCTTTTTGCCTTTATATCTGCCTCAATTCTTTAAGGCACAGATTAAACAAGGTGCTGGGAACATTTCTTGGGATTTGGATCCATACTGGCGCGATAACATAATGCCGATTTGTCAGGTAAATATCCATGATCCGAATCTACCCGATTCACCACATCCCAAAGGTGCTCTGTTGGATTGAGATCTGGTTATTGTCGAGACCATTTGAGTACAGCGAACTTACCATCTACACAAAGCTACTTTGAAATGATTTGAGCTTTGTGCTTAAAGCAGCCATCAGAAGATAGGCACACTGTGTCTGTAAAAGAATGGGCATGGTCAGCAGCATTACTCACATAGGCTGAAGCACTTAAATAATGATGAACTGGTACTAATGTTTCATGTTGTTTACACCAAATTCTGAACTGACCATCTGAATGTTCCAGCAGAAAGCAGTCTGGGCATTCTTTTCTGATCTCTGGCATCAGTAAGGCAGTTTTATGCAATGTTGTTGGTTTTTGGATGTTTCCTCTTTTTAAAACCAGTCTGTAAACCCTGCAGATTGCTACTCTACGGTCATTTTCACACACACAACTTCTAAAGTAGTCAGACCTGTGGCACCAATCATTTCAAGTCACATTCAAAGTGACTTTAATCACTTTTCTTCAACCTTTCTGATGCAGTTTGAACTTAGGCACACTACCCTTGACCATGTCTACATGCCTAAAATGCATTTTTATAAAAAGAAAATATCCAATAGTTATTATGAGATTTCACTTGAATTGATTTATCTTGAAATCCTAAATGTCTGTAAAAAATTTGGCACTGATCTATGGATGAAAACGTTTATGTCACTGCTGGCACAGGAGAAAATACCAAGGAATCACCACAGAGATTGGAATGGATTGAATCCCTTCAAAGTACTATTGATATCTGTGCCCTACTTCACGGCTGTTCATTGGATAGCTGTCAAGATATTTTAGTGTGGAACAAAATGTCAGACTAACACACCAACACTGCGAACTGTTGATGACAGCCGTTACAGACAGATCCCCTTTAACATAACATAATGAATATGGTCCAAGTGGTCCGTTTTTGATTGTTTCTCTGTTAAATACTGAAATATTTCACAATTTCACAAAAGCATAGTTAAGGAATAAATCCATTGTGCACCACAAAGTCAGCAAGCATGCAGAAGGCAGGAGAAATAGGAAGTGAGGTCTCTGTTGTCTGTTAGTGGATTATTGGATTATCTGCAGAAACACAATTACCCATTAGGGCATATTGTGCATTCTCCTTCAGTAGAGATGCTGCTCACAAAAGCCTTGGTTAACCCTAACCTTGCAAAACAGGGACTCAAAACAGGCTAGCTGCTAAAATATGCACAACTTGGGCCACTTTAGTGACCGAAATCAGCAGCATTTACTGTAGAAATAGTACTCTGTTCATAGATATGCCTAAAGACTCGAACGAGCACACACCGAGGCTCATGCAGCAATGATGAATATGTGCTCAGGAGCTGCTAATCATCACTGAATGGGGGGTTGGGCTGGGAGACAGCAGAGAATGAGGGTGGGGCTGGGGGAGGGATGGGTGGGTGTTTGGTTTGGACTAAACTATTTTTATCCGGATTCCATGAAGACAGCTGCCAACCTCCCAAGTGTGAGACTCTCCTGCCCTCCTTATCCCCAGGAACAATGACATTAGACACCACCTCTGAGTATTTCGGCTAGGCATGTGGTAAAATAATAATAATTACAATAAAGGCTCCTCTTTTAATGCTTTCATTGAGGCCAGTTGTGGAGTGGGTGCTGAAAATCTCATAAGCTCATCCGGTTTAGCTGAAAGCATTACAGACTTCAGGCTCTGCAACAGCCCGTGTGCTGCTGTAATCTGCCATCGTGTCCAACTATCAATCTTTACCTGAGATGTCAAAGAGGCTTCGGTGCGATCATGTATGTAATGCTGATAATCGAATTCTTCTTCAAAATAAAATTGTAATTGCTGAATATTTTCTTTGGATCTTCATTGTTCAATTGTTCATTAACCAATTACTTGCATATAAAATCAATTTATAGCTACTTATTCTTCACTTGTGGATGCCAAAGCCATCAAAGGCTCCAGCCTGCTCTTTTTATCTATTGAGGACAGAATATGGGCTTTTCTTTTTTAGCAGGTGTCTATTACAGGCCACATGCCATGACCCTGACATTCCCATGCCACTTCAGGCCCACCAGGACTTCTGCCATCCGTTTGCAGAGAGATGCAAGATAAGGGCTGACAGAGTGACAGTGACATCCTCCACAGCCATAAGCTAACAATGTGACTCTGCTTCCTGGGGCCAAATGCCACAAACATCAGGGCTCTGATACAAGCCACAGACCTCCCTCAACATTTGCCCACAGCCACCTTCAGCTCCTGTATGTGGAATCCTTCCAGAAGCGAAGAAGAAAATAAGGTACATATCATGGTTCAGTAATTAATGTTGTTCTTCATGCCACCCACCCAAGTGTAGCTTTATGTTTTCTCCTCACAATTATATTGTGGTCAGTGTATTTCAATGAACGTCACTGAGCAGAGAGACTGATGTTCAGATGATGCCTGTTTTTATACTTATGGCATGAGAGTGGAAAGTTCCTCTCAGCTATAATCATATTACAATTTGTAGACAAGTAATGGACCACCTGTACATTACTCCTACAGAAGATGCTCATCCATGGAAACGCATGCCATTAAGCTACTGGTGCAGTTTTTGTGCCGATGTTAATGTCAGAAGATTGAGTCAGCAAAGCGCTGCAACTTTTAGATATTCTGTGACTCCAATCAGTAAGTTTATGTAGTCTGCCACTTCATGGTTGGGTTCTGTAGCTCCTTAACGATTCTACTTTGTAACAATAATACTTGAAGTTGAATATCACCGAATATCAAGGAGGGCCTAAAATAAAGGAATCCTATTACAGCACCACGCTCCTAAGAGCCACACATTCTTTCACAAATCCTTGTAGAAGGCAGGCTGCATGGACCGGTGCTCGATTTTACACACCTTTAGCAATGGCACTGAAACCACCTTACATCAAAGATTTCTATCCAGGCAGCTACAGTTATTTTCATGGGAAAACAGAGCAAGACAAATTATTACCAGTGCTCACATTAAGCGTAGACAAAAAAAAACTTGAAATATTTGGTTTATTCTTAGTTTTCCATGTAAAAATACACATCCGAGGGATGGATTTAGTGGGGGGGAAAACAAAACAAAAAACAATTATTTTTTTAACGTCTTAGTTCAACAAGTCAAAATTTAAAATCAGTTTTTGCTATTAAATACACACCTCCAAGTTTTGCATTTTTCACACATACCTAATCTGTCAAAGTCTGCATTGGCAGCAACGTAAAAGTAGACTGGATGTTGTTTTAACAGCTTTACAAAGTTAAAGAGTGAAAGTAAAGCTCAGGGGTTTTTTTAAGTCATGTTTTCAAAGTGCAAAAATTGTACTTGTAAGGCAACAACCCTTGATGTGTGTATATTGTGACAATGAAGACAACCATACACTCTTTACTTGTAAACATGTCAAAACTTGATTCAACTGTGTCCAAGAAAATATTAAGATCACAAAAAGTTATAACATGTGTCTGCTCTATGAGCAGCCAACCCAAACACAATGCAGCCTTGCGCTTCTCCCAATGTATGGCCCAGAGAGCTTTAAGTGAAGAAGAAGAAATGTCGCAGTGGCATCTACAGTAGCTCAAGGTGGTTTAAAAGACAAAAACTAGCTTCTCCAACTGGAAAATGTTTGAGAATTTGATCTGTAAAAAGAGATCAGAGAGAGAGAGGGAGAGACATTACTGAGAAAGAGTTTTGAATGTTTAAAAAGTCAGCAGCAGGACTATTAAAATGACCTCTAACGAGCAAATCAAAACACATACACCATGACATCTTGTCCACCCACACACCCACCCAGTGTTCTTATAGATTTGACATCATGTCGTCCTAATTGCTTTCCGCAGCATTTTTCCAGGCAGGTTGTGAAATAAATCAAATGAAAAAACGCGTTGAATTCAGTGAAAGTGTCTGATTTTGTACTCCTGCATTTGCCTTTTGTCTTGGCAGCAATGACAAGTGCACATGATGAATGGTTTTTACATTGGAGAGAGCTGCTGTTAAGAGCGCTGATATGCCATATTTTATTGTAGGATTATGATTTATTGTTAGCAATAATTACACTTTTCAAAACTGGTTTTAGAGTTGTCAATGGAGATGTTTAGTTTTTCACAGCACAGGGTAATAAAAACAGTGGAATGTTTCTGTTCGTTCTTTTTAAGGTTTAAACACAAATCCAAGGTTCCTACAAATAATTTCTTAATAATCATGAATGGATTTCATTTTAATTCAGGCTTTTTCCCCAGTATCATTGTAGTAGAGGGGTTTTTTGTTAATATTATTAAATCAAAAATTATAACGCTTGTAGATTTGAGAAATAAAAGTAAAGGCAATTTTGACTTGGCAACAATCCTGTCTGTACAAAGAATGTAATATGCATACAGTTTTGAAGGCAGACACAAGAGAAAAGCAGAAAAGACTGAAAGAGAAGGATTATTAACAGAATGTGAATGTGTCCAATAGACTAAGCCTTGTCTTCACACACTCCTGCACACTTCAGAGTGCATTCCACTGGAACACACCCCGGGGAAACACTGGCTGCCATGTGACACATGGAAAATGAAGCGAGAAGCAGTATAAAAAGGTAGAAAGTGAAATTGAAGGATGACAGGAAAGAAGAGGAGATAGAGAAGAAGAGGTGAAGGAAAAAATAATCACTTTAATTAGTTTTAGGTTTAATTAGTAAGAAAGCTCTGCTTGAACATTTAAACCATGCACAGCCAAGTAAGGAGCACCAGCTTCACAGGGGCTGAGAATGAAAAGCCACACCCACACACCCTTCATGTGCTATAGATTTAGCAAGTGCAGCATTGGGTAGTTTTTAGAATATCTTCTAAATATGACTAAAAACAATATTTTCCTATAATAATTGCTTTCAAAATTTACTGTAAGACAATGCAGTGAAATAATGGTGAATATGAGCGATTATGAGGAACAGAGGAAAGAAAGAAGATGGAAAAGAGGAAAGAAATGAGGTTAGATGAGGTGGTATTAAACCTGAAAGGTTCTATAGGGAGCACTGCGGTACAAGATGGAAGCTTCAGCAGAGTTCAAATACCACAGGCACAATGCAGTGCTGCCAGCGAGGAACAGAGAAATGTGGGTCTGTCTACTTATCAGTTCACATTAACACACACAAGAAAAAAAAAACACACAAAAAGACTAATTAAAACTAGATGGATGGACCACACTTACTGGTTTGCAGACCCAAAGGTGTTTCCAGAGAATCCTAAAAATATAAAAAATAAATACATGATTAATTTGGTAATTGTTACTGCAAGTGGGAAAAAAAGACTAATGGAAGTCTCACTTCACAGCATGAGTCACATGATCTGTGTGCCTATGTGTTGGAAGTGGGTTAGTGGACAGTCCTATGTACAGTATGCATATTGTGTATAGTGTGCATCCACAATACCATTAAAACTTCAGAAAAAAAATAAAGCAGAGGACTGAAACAAAGGAGAGAAATATCAAAGAAATGAGTGCATGGAAAAATAATTTGGATCGTGCATGCATGAAAACTCAGAGGGATGCACACCAGTCATCTCTGCAAAGAAACCTGTAACAGCTGTAATGCAGTGAAAGTTTATAGATGTGCAGGACAGGCAAATTCAACATACAGTGTGTTACAGTGAACCCCTTTCTGTCTCATTAGCCCATGAAACATAAAATGTATTCATCCATCCTTTGTCATCCTTTGTCTTTATCGTGTTTGAGAGGGAAGTACTCCTTGGATATGTTTCGCACAAACTTGCATTGTGTTGCCAAATGAGGAAATTGACCACTTTAAAATCTTCATGTGATGCACAATCTACCCTAAAAGTGTAATTAACACAACAAAACACTTGTTTGGTCGCAATACTCAGGAAATTTCTATTGCACAACAATAAAGCCACCTTCCTTTTTCAAGTTTGAAAGACAGTTAAAGTAAAGAAACTTGTGATAAAAACTGTACAATGGCTAAAATTGTACAGTTGCTGGAAGAATGGCGCTGTTGAGTGACTCACTGAAGGGAATAAACTAGAGTGATAGCAGGCAAGATGGCAGCTGAAGATGATGAGGAAGGGGGAAAAAATAAAAACAAAAATAATTCAGGTAAAGTAGTAGTCTCACCTCCTGGCTGTGGCTGTTGTCCAAAACCTGAAAAGCTGCTGGGCTGACTTCCAAACCCAGGTCCCTGCTGGGCCAGGCTCCCGAATGATGGAGCGCTCTGACCGGCTAGCGCACCAAAGGACGGAGTGCTAGGAGGTGGGGCAAACCTGAAAACCGGAGCAGGTGCTGAGGTTGTGATACTGTAAAACGCAAAAGTTACAACTGAAAAAAAGACAGCCACACCTGAATGGGGCTGGTAAGACAAAATGCTTGACAATATTAGGTTACTGGTCTGACAGTCATAAATTCATAATTAAACACACATACATGTGGGCAAATAGTTTGTCCAAGATGTTTTTATTGGTTAGTTAAACATGTAAACAAAGCAGAACATTCAAGATAGTGAATGTGAATTTGTTTAGCTTTATTTATTTATTTTTACTCGTTTGGCATGTGAGGATTGGCAGGCTGGGATTTATACATTAATCCTTTCTACAGGACCCAACGCCCACTCACTCCCAAGGGAGAGAAAAAAGAATAAGCAAAACAGTGAAAGAGAGAGAGAGAGAGAGAGCATGTCAGTTTAATCTGCAGGCTTCATGACCCCAGATTGAGATTATCTGGAGGGAATAATCTAGTCTGGCACAGAGCTGGGTTTGTTTTGTGCTGGCAACCATGGTTGCTGGTATCAAAACACATGCACATGTGAACACACCAGAGGTTAATGCAAATCATTAGAGTATAAATGATAAGGAGGAGGGGAGGATTAAAAAACATAATAATCAGGAAATCCTGCCTGAAGTCAGAACTGCTGGAATTAGATTAGATAGAAATGTGTGTGTTTAAAAGTAATAAAATTAAGCCTCACTTCCCAAATTTGCCTCATATAACTCTATAGACCAATAAAAATGTTTTGTTTCTCCACACTTAAATGTTAATGGGGTTTTTAATAGTGTTGTTAAATGCTGCTTTCAGCCGGTTTGTCTTGTAGTGCTGAGCACACTGAAAGGCGCCTATTATGACAATAATAGCCTGATGACAATGACATTTTCAAATACTCATTGTCTGCAACAGTGGGTTGAGAAAAAAAAAACAGTTCTTTGTTACACTACTTTGTCAATGAAAGGTTGTTCTACTGAAAATATTTGCTGCTTTAAACCTTGAATATCAGAGCAGGCACAGAAAATAGATTACAGACAAACTAGATGCAGATAGAAGTTCTGTAAACAAAGTTCAGCTAAAGGTTCAGCCACCCTGAATCAAAGTGGCTGAACCTTTAGGTTGCTCTAAAGTCAGCTTTAATTACATAACGATGGATTTTTTTTCCATATCAAACCTTTCAAAAAAAAAACTTCGTCTTGCTTACCCAAATCCTCCCATGTTGGCAGCCGCTGTGCCCTCTCCGAACACTTTGCCAGCCGATGATCCAATGGGGCTGCTGAATGAAGGGCTTGAGCCAAAAGATGCTCCAGCACCAAATGCTGGGGAACCCCCAAAAGATGGAGGACTCCCAAACACCGGAGCACTGCCAAAGCCACCTGTAGGAAGGAAATAGGATAACAGAGCAGGAAGTTACTTGGTTTCCAGTGTTCTTTCTACAAAGAAAATACAGAAGAAATGTGAGTCATGAAGCAATTTCTGTAACTTTTATAACATTATATGCTAAGTGGCTTATTTACATCAGGCATTACATCCATGTAGATGTTTTTTCCCTTTAACAAAGCTACTGCTAACACTAAAATTTAATCTAGAGTTCTTCTTGGGCTCATATGAAGAAACATAAATTGAATTTAGTGCTGGCACTTCCAAAAGGAAAATAAATTCCTAGGTAAAGACAGAAAAAGTATTTTAGCTATGTTTTAAATAATTTCCCCCAGGGATTAATAAAGTATTCTGATTCTGATTCTGATTTTAAATTAAAAAAAAAATTGCATATCCCCCTATTGTAACTCATCAGAAGTTACCTGAGTACACGTGTGGGCATTTACAGTATTGTTGTGCACAGCCTCTGGAGCAGTAAACTGTTATAAGCATGATGAGTACTTCACACCAATTCAAAGCCTCTGATTGGCAGGAGAGAAAGAGTGTACTGAAATTACAGCCTGGCTAGCAGCATGCCCCAGTAAATAATTGATTGAGCTAATGTAACAAGATTACATTCCCCCTGCATGGCCAGTGATGGAGAATTAGTGTGCTGAGGGTTACCAATACCCCAGAGGCTCTGAGGTACAGCTTGAATAGCTGCTACTACTACTCATGGCCACGAGCAGCAAAGTATCAGCATATCGGTTTTTAAATTTACATGATGTTTTCAGACAAACTACAATGTGATGTAGACAGGGTTTCTCCTGGTTTAAAACAGGCCTCTAAGGGTGAATTTAACTACGCCTGCACTGGTTTTTATCCATAGCGCCCCAGCTCTATTCAGAAGTGATTTACACAATAAAGACCACTTTTAAATGTATAATAATGAGTTCTCCAAGAATTGACTGAAAATAATCAGCGCATCATCTCGATAGATTAAAAAAAAAAATATGGTGGGGTTCACCAATGTGTTGAACCATTTAAAATGTTTCTCAAAGTAAGAGTGCAAAGAATATGAGGAATTCAACTTTTACAGGAAATTACATTATATATCCAAGACATGTATGAGTTTAAGTTAGTTGGTGTTTCTAAATTTGAAAGTAGGTGTGAAAGTGAGCGTGAGTGGTTGTCTCTTTGTGTTAACACTGTAACAGATTCAGGCCCTCAGGCAGCGCAGCATGGAAAGCGCACATTTCTCAGGTGGAAATCAGGAACCCTTTGAATGCTGTGATCAGTCACCAATTGATCAGTCACCAAAAACCATATCTAAATGAGGGTCGAACGCAGTGCTGCCTGTTAGAGGCTGAGCTTAATTTAAGATGCATTGAGCAGAAGTGGAAAACTATCCCATGGTCATGGTTCTTGACTAAAATGCTTTACAGGTTCATCCAGTGAGAACAAAACACAAGGATTAATAGATAAAATACGCTAAAATAACAATAGAATAAAAATAGGAATGCACTGAGATGTCTGTACTCAACTCGAGCTAAAAGCCAGGAAGACCAGGTGAGTTTTGAGTAAAGACTTGAAGGTCTCTCCACTACAAACAGATCTGATGTTTTGGGGTTGGTGGTTCCACAAGACAGGGCCTAGAACCAAAATGGCCTTGTCTTGGGAACATCCAGAACCATCTGATTGGAAGACCTTAGTGCCCTAAGTGGAGCGTGGATACTTAAAAGCTCAGATAAATTGGGG